GCCTCACTGTGGAGGACTGGGATTTGTTAAATACCTACTGAGTCAGAAAGAAGTGGGTCTTTTGTTTGTTGTTTTCTTGCTGATGACAGAATTTAGACATATTGAGAGGGAGTAACAAAGGAGACCAGTATTGTTAAATCTGGTTGCTGTGATATGCTCATGGGTTAACCTATGCTTGGGGAGCGATAGAGTCAAGAAGGTTGATGATACTACTGTATATTTTCAATACATAATAATTTTTTCAAATAAAGTTTTTGTTGTTATCCTTAACTAATTCTTCTGACATAGATATCATTCACAAAAATAGCTGGTCCTATCCCTTCTCCTCTCTCGCCTCCCGAGGGGCAGAAGACTAATCACTGCAGCTCATCTGAAATGAAGCTGCACTGTGCTTGTCAAGTGCCCTGGGACTTTAATAGAGCTGGTAGAACATAAACCTCAGCCTGTAAGCACCAGGCTGTGCTGATAGAGCTCTGACAAAGGGAAAAAGCAAAGAGGATAAGCGCAGGCCCCGGGGGAGGGAGGCAGAGACAGCGTAACCCCTCGGTAACAGCTATTGCAGAAATCCAAAGTAGAACAGAAGTCCCCTATCTCTCATTTTAGCCCAGGAAATGAAAGCTGAAACTGGGTTACTGTAGAGATTAGACTCTGCAGTTGTAATATATTCTCCCTTACAAGAAAATTCGCTGCATTTGAGAGCATTCTGTGGTTTAAAACCTATTCTCAGTGCGCATGCATGCCTGCAATATACTAACTGTACTTCCCCATCTAAAAACATTCAGGGAAGTGTTCACAGAATTACACGTATTTGCTGTGAAAAAACTAGATACTCAGACTGGTTCTGGGTTGGTCTGTCTGAAGCCAGGAGTAGAGCTGTAATACTGCAGCTGTGTTTATCATTGAATTCCTGCCCTGAGCGTTTCTGTCAAAACTGGCTGAGGTGCACGGTGCCCATGAGTTGGGCACTGCCACCGTCATTGCACTCTTAGGTCTCTAGGGCCAAGAATTTACTACAGGTTTCCTCTACTAGTGCTTATTGAGAGGATATCTTCCTTTTACACAGTTGTGTGCCATAATTCAGCGACAAGAAAAGCAACACATCCTTGGAAATCATGAAGAGGCCAAGAAAAGAAACTTCACCTAAAAATGCATAAAGAGCTAAACCCCTTTCTCTCTTTGTTCTTTTATTGCTGAATTTTCCTCAAAAAAGGACTACACACAAACAAACAAACATACTTGCATTCAAGCCCTACATTTTTTCCCAGAAACTCAAGGCTATTAATAGCTTCCACTGGCAACTACATCAGCCCTCTGCTGAGACAAATAATGGCACAAATAGAGACTTAGCAAAACAGCATCTCAACAGGGAGGAAGATGACTGTGGCGCTCATGTATAATCCTCCTCCTGCAGCTGGCTTCTGGTTCAACAGCCACCACGGATTTCTTTTGCTAGCCCTTCCATGACTGTGGAGATCTGCTAATCTGACCATGGAGAGATGCATGTCTCAGAGAATCGTATACTCCATTTCACATCGGTAAAGCAGCTGGGAGCTGATGCCTTGAGCCAGAAAATAGGCACATCGTGATTTGACATGAACAGTCTGCCCAGGTCACGGACTCGTTGGTAAAATAATGCAGTACATCTTTCCTTTTCAAAAGAGGTGTTTTAGAGCACCGTGTTTCTTACGTTCTTCATCCGTGGTACAATTATTCCTTTCCTTAGGTTTCTTTCTGACCAGCAGACTTCCTCTTTTAAACACGCCATTGTGTAAATTTTATCTTAGGAAGACTTAGGCACACTTACCACTATGTCCTCCACCCACTAATCTCTGTTTATTGCTCTCTGTAAGGCACACGGCCTCTGCTGACCAGGAACAAGGCAGTAAGAAAATTACAGGAGGAGACACCCTGAAATAGATAGGCTCAGCCAAGCGCCTGCTTAAACTGCCCGCTGCATCCCTGGCTGTTTCCAGGCTGGCTTATGAGTCTTGCTGCCTGTGGACTGCTGCTTCCCATGTCTCTCTTCAAAGGTGTAAATCCACAGCAGGATGAGTCCCCAGTTCCTCTCTCCTTCTAACCTGAGGCCATTAATCACAGCTCTGGCCTCCCAGGAGCGCTCACTGGGAAACTGATACAGGGACATCAGCTGGAGAGCAACCCTGGGGCTCTACCCTGCAGGTACTGGGTGGGTCAGCTCCTCTGACACCAGTAAACCTTTACTGGCTATCTTAGATGCAGAGATCACATTGCTGACCCCATTTCTTTGTGGTTCAGCTCAACTACAAAGCTGCTTAGGAGAGGGGAGTGCATGTGGTTTCCTCTGCAGCCAGGGATATCCTCCATGCCCCCTAAGCCTGCCTCCATTTCCTCACCCTCCTATTGAAGGAGAGAGAAGGTGGCACAAGAACCTTTCCTGCCTTATGCCAGGCATTTGCCTTCTTTATCATGTCTCGCAATAAAGTAAGAATTCCCAGATCCCAACATTGTTCCCATCCAGCCAAGGCAAGCCACCACTTGACCTCTGCTGCAGTGGAGAAGCAGCCTTCCACACAGCAAGCGCAAACGTCCGACTCCCCATGCTCACACATTGCATGCCCAGACCCTTTCCTCTTCGCCCTTGGGAGCTTCTTACAACTTGGCAGAGATGAGCTGTGGCAACGATTGACAAATATTGGACTGGGAGAATACAGCAGCTGCCATATGGGTCAGCCCAACCAGCATCCTCTTCCCAACCACAGCAAACATCGGAGGCTCCGGAAAGTCATGGCTGTCCCAATGTCTTTGGTACAGAGCAAATTTTTTTTTTTTTACCAATCATATTGGCTGGGCCCTATGCTGACCATGAGGGTTTCTGCATTTTTTTAACAGCTGATTAGTTCAATCCTTACCAACTACAGTTGTTCTGTTATCCATATATAGTTCCCATCATGAGGGATGAGATTCTTCTTCTCCTTCTCTCCCACCTTTCTTTGACCGCTGCCCCATAGAAGCATGCAGCAGTCGTAGGCACCTGCACCCTCCCAATGCAGAGAGCTTGTTGTGCATCCTCCCACTTCAAAGCCAAGGAATGGGCAAACAGTCTGTGACTGAACCCCATCTGAATTGGAAAGAAGCTCTTCTCCCCCAGGAAAGAGAGGCTGCCTGGTAGCGCTGCCTCTGAATCACCCCTCCTTGCACTAAGAAATGCTGCAAGACTTCCTCATTGATTGCCCCAGAACATACTTTGGGGTAATAAGAGGAACAACAGCAACTACAATAAACCAGGCTTTATTTACCAAGCCCAACTCAGCCTTGTTGAAGCGTTAGATGTCTATGACTCTCCAGTAAAAATGTGCATCTCTATTTCAGGCTTTAATTGAGGCTGGAAGCTTGCAAGTGAGAAACGTTTACCTAGAAAATTCGTAACCTCTCTTCCGAGCTGCAGCACTGAATGCACTGCAGTAATGTTTTACAGGCATGGAGAAAGCAAGCCATCCATCCTAGCCAGCTGTGGAGAGGGACAGGTTATTAAATGCGGCTTTAAAAGTTTCCCGTAGTACCAGTTCCGTTATGCAGAGTTTTGCCATCTCATGCCAGGTGAAGTATGAGTCAGAATACAGTAAAGCTATTTTAAAAAGATCTCTCATATCTACAGCTGTATCCCAGCTACAGATTAGAAGAAACATTCACCATTGATACAAGTCACAGTGACATGCTGAGTTGCAGATCACAGGACAGAGAGGAAATGAGTGAACAGGGTTTTATTTTTAAAGATATATGACCTGGGATGGTGGTGGGAAGAATATTGCCTGATGTTTATTTTGGGCCTAGAAAAGTAAGGGCACTCACTGTAAATGTGGGTTTTTCTCAGAGATGATGTTTTAGACACAGATGAGATTTTCAAAGGAGCAGAGAAAGACCCTGAGGACTGCTTTGAAGGTTTGGCTGACTGAGTCTGCTATGCTGGCAGAGGAATGGAACGAGCAATGAACAGATCCCGTGTCATCCCACACTGCCCTGGGAGCAGCTGTGGCACTTGGTTTTCTGCTGGTCTCTGCTCTGAGGCTGCAGCTTTTTTTTTTTTCCTCCTTTCTTTGCCATCTTCAGTGCAAACTCATCCCAGCCCCTCAGCTATTCTCAACCTGCTGAGCTGCTGCTCCAGAACTGCACAGCCCTGACAGAAGTATATTTCATATACGCACCAGTTCCCTGCCCCTGCCCTGCAGAGACAGCTACCGTGGTCACAGGGACATGGTGATTTATCCCCACAAACCCTGAAACACCCACTTCAGTCTTCCTTCCCATTACACTCTCCATGTTGGCCTTCATGGTTTAAGAGCGTGGGAGGTGACCAGTGCAGCAGCTCTCCACCACGTCACTCAGCACAGCGTTCCTGAGGAAGTGTCCTGGGAGCATCAATGCAGAGCCTCCAAAGCTGCTGCTGAAACCATCTGCAGATGTGCTTTGAACACAAACACAGGCTTCTCCTCCGGCCCATGGGGATCAGGATTGTGAAGACATGTCAAAGGGAAGTGCCAACCCAAAGGCTAGAAAGGCTCATCTCACTCAGCTCCTGCTCTTCAGGGTAGTCCTCAATGTACCTTGATCTGGCTGCCTGCAGAGGCACCAGCATGTCCATACCAGAGAATGCCCTCGCCCAGGGTTGGCCAGACACAGAATCTGTGTTGCCAGCAGCTGGTAGTCTCTAGCAGCCTGCACACAACCCATCAAGCTATCGAGTCAATGCTGCAAGGTGGTGCTCTGCCCATGTAGAAGGGACTCATCCTCACACGACAGAAGAACCTGTGAAGGTGTCCCACAGCCAGTGTCTAGCCTGCAGCGTGGGCTGCCGTAGGCTAGAAGCGCAGCAGTGTCGCTGCATACCGGTCAGAGCACTGCTGATGAGGGCTTGCTTGGGTTGGAGCTTCCCAAGCGGGTGGCAGAGCAGGAGGACACCAAGGCTTAAAGGTGACAATGCAGGAAGCACCCTGCTGTCTCCAGCACTGCTGGGTGCCAAGACTTCACGGTCTGCAGATATACTCATCAGACCAGCTGAGGCAGTGCTGGACGCCATCCCGGCACAGCCTCCTGGGAACGCAGGAGCAGTACTCGTAGAGCACTGGGCTGCAGCTCCACCACTCCAACCCGCACGGGGGGCAGGCGGCCACTGGGAGGGATGGAAAACAGGGAACAGAAATGCTTTTGCTGCACTGACCCCTTCCCTCCTTTCTTATGCAGGTAGCTACCCTTTCATCCCTGGCAGCTACTGAAAAGCCACTGGTGATGACCCTGAGTCTGTGAACCCACCAAAGAGGACACTCACTTGTGGGAGACAACCAGGGACCATGACACTGTGATGACCTTTGTGGCAGGCATGCTATCCTGGGAGGAACAACTAGATGTAATTTATATTTTTAGCAAGCTACTCTAGAGAAAGCTGCTGACACAGGCAGGTCTCTCCTAAGGTTCAAAACCACAGGGGTGACTTAGGAACAAACCTGCTGCACATTTTAGTGAGAGCAGGATCTAGATGGCTTTGAAGCTGCTGAGGCACGCTCAGTCCCCCTGGCTCAGAAATGTACCCATCTCCTGACCAACAACCAAAGGCCAGTTTGAATGATCGCTGCTGCCTACAGCTACGCATCACGATGAAACTGCTCCACGCTCAGCAAGCTATAGAGGAGGAGTGACTTTTGGGGCTGGGAGCAAAGCACAGAGCCTTTTCCCTCTTGGTTGCCACCAGGCTTTGACATGGAGCCCTTGGCAGCTGATGGGATGGAGCCTGCATGGTTCAGACTCATGTCCTATCCTAGCTATTTTGTGTTTTAGCAGTGGATGCCAGCATCCAGGTGTTTCCAGCAGCATCAGTGAGCACCACGCTTGTACAGCCTATTTCAATCCATCAGCAGAAAAGACCTTTTGCCCAACAGTAGCCAGAAGAGAGACTTACAGCTCCCCATCTCATCAGAGCAGTCTCCACAGTCATTCATCCCGTTACACCTCTGATCGGCATAGACCCAGTACCCGGGGTTACTGCAGCGGAAAACCAGGTATCCCGGAAGGCTACGGGGCAAGTCACCTGCAAGGGCGGACACACAGGACACGTGCTGAACTCCACCGGGCACAGATGCACCAGCTAAAATGGGGATGGCAGCTACCAAAAGCTGCTGTCATGGGGGGTCAGTCGGTCCTTCCCCGTGCAGTGTCAGGGCATGAATGTCACCGCAGATGGGGAAGCTGCAGTTGGAGAGGGAAAGGGATGCTTGTGACTGACCCAGAAGCAGGGTCTGGGTGCCCCAGGCTTCTGCTTTAATGAGTTTTTTTCCAGGGTAACTGGACAATAAATTAACCGTGTAGGCATACAGTTTTCCTCCATTGGTTAAACTGCATCATTGTTTAAAAACACCCTAGGAAGATCAGAGGAGCTTGGAGTCTTTGATTCCTGGCACTCCTGCTGGGTTTTGGGCAGTGCCATCTCTCAGCGTCTGCCCTACAAAGGATCTACCAGGCTTATCTGCTCACGTATGTGGCCAGAAGCACGGAGCAGGATTAGCGGGACACTGGCTGCTGTCTCACAACAGGAAGACCAGTGCGGGGAGGACGGTCGCAACAAAACCGCTCACCACAGAGTTCCTCCTGCTCATCCTCTCTGTTCCTGCAGTTGCTGACTCCGTCACAGACCTGGCTGGCCGGGACGCAGGTCACTCTGTCATCGCACAAGAAGCCTGTCTGGTTATTGGAGGCTGCACAGAAGCGGTTCACTGAAGGGAAAGCAAGAAATTCTTTATTTTCCAACGTTTTCATGGAATGAGGAACAGATCAAGGGGAAGAAAGGAGGATTTCCGAAATTCATTTGTTGTTCTGGAAATAACCAGGGCCCAGGATTAATCTCTGGTAGGTTCATGGCAGAGTCTGAAAATGATACCGGTAGTCTGAAGCATGACCGTGCCACCCAGAGTTAGCACAGCCCTACGGAGCAGGACAGCAGAGCTGAGGAACGGCTGGTGGCGACCTGGGCTGTGCAAAGCTGGCACAGCCCCGTACCACCCTGCTGGTCCCTTTCCTTCCTCCCGGTCTGCGCTGGGAACCACCACTTCACGCACGGTGATGGACATGAAGGCTCTTCTCATGCAACACCATTTTCTACCTCTCTTACCAAAAATATAACGACTCTTGGTATACCAACCTGGCGCACGTGGCAGGAGTCCCAGTGCCACCGCCAAGCCCACGACAGCAGCGAGGACGAGCAGTGCCGTGGCAGAAATGCAGGCGTGTCTCCGTGTGCAGCCTGCACAGGCACTGTGTGGCTGGCAGCAGTCTGCTGGGAGGCAAGAGCAAGAGGTGAGGGGCTGGGGAAGGGTCTGACAGGGCTGAACAGGGTCAGGGTGTTTCAGAGGGGAATGGCAGAGAGCCAAAAGGGTGATGTTTCAGGGGCTCTGCATGTGGGACTGGTAGGAGGCTGCTGGGGTTTAGGGGTTGAGTTTTAATAGCCAGACTTCAATGCTAAACACCTCCTCATAGGGAATTTCGCTGCTTGCAGTGTGGAAGAGCCCATGCCACCGTTGCGGAGCACTGGGACCGAACGGCACAAACGTCGTGTCTCCATCAGAGCTCGCCCAACACACTTGGATGCAGAAGCATGGAGAAGGCCAAGCCCCTGCCCGACCCTGTGGGACAGCAATGCCCTTTTCACATCAGGAGCAGCCAAAACACAGGGCAGGTCGGTGTAAGGCTGGGAAAGGTGCCTTCCCAGAGCCCACAGCAAAACTCCTCAAGAGGTAAAATTTCATTTTACAGCGTTTCGGGCTTCCTGCCCCAACCAGGACTCTAACGCTCCCACAGAACGAGGCCGAATTATCAGCTCAAAATGGTGGGAACTGGCCAAAGAGCAGCCCTTTCCCTCCCCAAAGACATCTCCAGGGTACAAAGGGCAGCAACCTTCCAGGGACTCCAACTTTCAGAAAGTCACATACATAAATCAAACCAAATCCGGAAGCTAAAGGCCAAACCCACAGTCATTGCAACACAACAGCAGCGCACATAAGAGCAACACCGATCAGCTGCCCTCATCTCAGCTCTCTGCAGCACCAGTGCTTTGTCTCTAAACCGACATTGTATTTTCTTGCATTCCTTTATTTCCAGACCAACAGGAAAAAAAAAGTGATCACCTGAGAAACACGTAACCAGTCACTTAAGACAACGCTGCATGTATAATTGGATTTTGGTATTTCTGAATTTAAAGAGCTTTGATCGAAAAGTTAGAATTTGTCTTAGCTGTGCTTCATATTTACTTTGTTGTTGTGTTGTACAAACGCCAAGTGAAGGCACGGCCTTTGCTCAACAGCAAAGGGATCCTGGCTGCAGTAACCACCCCCTCCGTCATGCTTGAGCAGGAATCAAACGCAGAACATTTCAGCTTAAAAGAAAAGTGGTGAATTACAGCATGTCTGTGTCTACAAGTCAGCGCCTTTGACCAGAAAGCACAACAGTTGTAAATAGACACGAGTATAAAATAATGGCAGTGATGAAGTGTTGTTGCAACCTGATCTACAGGTTTGCTATTGATTGTTCGATCTCACCTTCTCCTTCTTAATATGGACAAAATTTGCTGGTTTGGCTACTAAAACATATAGAAAGCCTACAGCAAGTTCATTATGAGCCCTTTTGTGACAGACAAAGAATACCTATCATGCTACTATACCGTAAGACTGCCAACTCCAGGCCAACAAAGAAGAGCTTAAGTTTATTAATTTTATAGTCTGGACATTTCACTACACAGAAGGGGGGTGGGAATCAGTCTCAACAGACCATAAATGCTGGTTGTATTTTACATTACATAGATAGTTTCAATTGATTTATACTTTAATAATAAAAATGTTGAGCTCTGCATTTTATTCGTTACCTCTTTCTTCAGAGAAGGACTTTGTTGACTCAAAAGTAGCAACATCACCATTTCTCTAGAAGGAAAGGAATAAAAGACCGTTTACAGAAGCAGCACACAGTAACCACGCAAGGTATGCCTTTCTAATTGTCATACCATCTTACCCAGGAACATATAATGTATTCCTTTATTTTTACATAGAAGCAAAAATTGCCTTGGTGGAAACGTGGCCCGGATTTAATTTGCAAAGCAATCAATCAGATCACCTTTTAAATCTTAGTTACCCATTTGTAAAACAAACACTAATGCAAGTCCAGCACTTTATATCAATACTTTCCTTTTGTATCAAATTAGGTTAAGTAGAAACAACTGAAAATCTCACAGAAACCAGTGATAAAGAGGTCAGACAAACAATGTTATCAAGAACACATGTACTTTAGGAAACAGCTGCACATAAGATTTTTCCGAAGAGAAGGACTGTACCTGGGGGTGAGTTTTGTTCATGCTTCCCAGAGCTACAGCCCTCACAGCAGCACAAAGGACCACAGGGAGTTTTCTGCACCTAGCAGGAGCAATGTTACCAGGATACAAAACCCAACAGAGGTAGGAAAGCAAGGACCATGCTGCTGCCTGGGCACGCAAGCAGGAAAGGACGGGGAATGCAGCGCCGAGCCTGTGCTCCAGCTCTGGTTGGGAGCGGGGTTTCTGGTTTGCTTCTCATTCCTCCTGGTTCCATCTTGGTTTCACAACAGGGCATTAGGCAAATCATAAAGGACACAGAGATTTTTGGATGCAGAGGACCCTGCTGCCACTCCTGACGCCACTTAGGAAGATGAACGCGAACCCCTAGCTGATGCTGACTGCATTTACCCTGGTGCTGGTCATGGAGAACCTCCCTTCATGATGAAAGCTTGAGGGAGGAGAGTCTGATCATCTTCGTGCGAGTCTCCTTTCTCCCCACCTCCTTCCCAAGACAGAGCTGACACGCTGACCTCATAGCAGCATCAGCCCAGACTCCTGCAAGATGATCAGATCTCAGCAGACCTGTGCAGGATACAGCCATCTGGAATAGCTTCCCTGCTTGGGCAACGAACACAGGCAGAGCAAATCCTCCAGGGTCCTCTCTTTTACTAGCATACTTGAATTTCCAGGCCTGCAGTAAGGCTTAGCAGCTCAACCTGTAGCTAACATGAACTTACAAATAGATTGCAGCCTCCTAAACTGGCTGCAGGTCTCAGCACAGCGCACGCAGAGTGGAGTTTTGCAGCTTCAAGGAAAAAGTGTCATGAGCACGCAGCTTTGCCACGGTGGTAGGGGGGAGAAAAATCACTGGCATAAAGTGTTCAAGGAGCACGTGTTCTTCTTGCTTGCAGGAGGGTCCATAGGACAAGTGCCTCCAAATTGTTGCCACCTCACAGATCACAATTCCTCCCCAAGCACTAGCAAAGCTAGCTTACCAGGGCTTCGGAGGAGAAGCTGGCAGCTATATTGCCTGTAAGTTGGCCCCGAGACAGTTGCCTCGAATTGATTCAAAGCACCAAATAAAGCCCAACGTGGAGGAACAATTACAGCTACTTCCCTCTCCATCCCCACACATACAACTCATTCTTAATTACGTTATCACTGAGTTAATATACACTTCTTGACAAGGACATCTGCCAGCCCTGCACTCACCTGTTCACAGACCAGCCAGAATTAAATACAGTCTTTTAGGAGCTCCTTCTTCAGCATGGCAACACCAATTTGTCCAAAGCAGAAGCTTCTCACAGGAATACCTCACTGTTAAACTTGGTGCTAGAAAGCTCTCCTGTTCTGAGGGGAATTCTGGGTGAAAACACCAAACCCCAAGTAGCAAGCAGTCTGCAAGTCTGGGCACCTTCTACAATATGGAAGAATGACAGATTAAAGGTTAAAACCTACGTATCTTAAATTCTGTATCTGTTTATCTTTAAAGAGGAAGTTACAGTTTCTAACCAGACTTGATACAGAAGGACTATTTTGAGCCTTCAAAAAGCTTTTTAGGTGACTGTGAGTTTGCTAAGAGTCCCATGTAAGAGCCAGGTCAAGCAGGCTAGCTATCCATGCCCCACGAAACAATCCATGATGAAAATGTTTAAAATGCAGAGTATATCCTCTCTTACAGGCAAATGTCCGTAAGACCAGATATCTACCACCATGTTTCCTACACCAAGATTATCAAGCTCAGCTGTAGCCAACAGGCAGTTGGGCTATAGAACAGTTACCCCACATCAAAGACAGCTAGTTCAGAAAAATGAGTTCATGAGAATGAGGTTACAAACACAACAAGCCCTTGTGAAGTAAAAAAAAAAAAAAAAATTAAAATCTTTGCTAAAGATCAGAGAAGCTGAAGAGGGAGCACATATTAAGATATCCAGTATGATAGGAGACTATTGTTAATTCGAGCACCTAAAAAAAACCAACCCACGCCCAAGCCCCCCCAAATGTACCGTGGCTATTTCTGCCAGCAGTGAATTGCACACACTTGAGAGGGTTGCCTCCCAAGCCCCATGTACCGTGGCTATTTCTGCCAGCAGTGAATTGCACACACTTGAGAGGGTTGCCTCATTTCATTTAAGATGATTCTGTTTAAAATCTGATACAAGTTCAATTGAACACATGCCTAGAAAGAATATGAAATGCTTTCCTCCTGCAATTTCAATAATTTAAAGCCCTTCATTTAAACAGTGGTCTTGGGCAGAGATCAAACCCAAATTGCAGCCTCTGAAAATGAAGATGTCAGGAAGTCAAACACTTAACAAAAAATGAGTAGGACAAGCCATTTTGCAAAGCCAAATGCCAAAATAGCTTAAATAGTCCATTTAGATTAGAAATCTTCAGGAACAGTTCAATTACTGCAGCCTAGCTAGGATCTGATCTTGCTGAGGGAAGATACTTTGACAAGCGCTTACAAGTACACTTAAATTCTTCAGACTCTGGCTGGCTCCGGAAACAGCAGTGCCAAGTGACAGATTGCCACAGGCACAGAGTTTCCTGTGACCTAACAGCACCTTACTGAATCACTGGCTTCACTGCACAGATTACTTAGCTGCAATGTCATTAAACAGCGAACAAAAGACAAAACACGTAGAAGTTCTGTTTTCTCCCTTTGTTGTAGGCAGATACAACGCCAAATGAAAGCAGAAGTTGTTTGTTTAACTCAAATCTAGGAACGTAAGCAATAAAGTCAAAATGTTTTGGAAGAGAAAGTTTTGTGAAATCAAGTCATCGACATAACAGAGGCTGTACTGTACGCATCTGAAGCAGGCAAATAGCCATGTTTTCGTGAAGCTGTAACACTCCCTCTGCAACTACATTTAGTAGTAAAGGAAAACATTTCCATGACAGTTATTCAGTTAGAAAAACTGGGATTGCTAAAGTCTCTTGTGGAAAGGCAATCCCCAACAACATAGTGCTAAGAAGACAGGCAATAATCACTGAGGTAGAGCCCATATTTACAAAGTAATTTTTGAACATCCGTTGCACACATCACATTTGATACCGCTCAAAGCTGAACACTGTCGTCCTGCACTGAAACGGGGCTGTATACTGAGGTTTGCACTACGCGAGCAGAAACGCACGTCTCGACTGAATCACTACTGCAGACAGAGGGATTTCCCGCCCCTGCTATCATGCAAGTGAAGCATTCTGAAAACATCACACCATCGATTTTCACAACAACAGTCACGCTTGAGGCCTTTGCGATAATGCCACCTACACACAAAGGCACCTGTCAATGGCTGCTGGCACCCAAATTTCTGGGCTACCGTGTTGTCCTACTGAAGAATTTAGCATGAAGAGGTACCACTAATTTAAGACTCCAAATTGCAATTTCTGCACATTGATACAAGCCTGCCTAAAACAAACATCGCTTAATGCTCTTAAACTTCATTGACGGAAAAACTGCTTGAGTCCTTCTAGGCTGGGGTTTTCAGCAGCACTGTACAGGCCACTTAATGCACATTCCTGCTTAACGGCCCCTGCAAGGCTCCATCATCTGTAATCACAGGACCATCAGCATTACAGCCGAATTAGGAATGACTATTGAACCACTTTTAACAGCGAGGGAACACATCACTGTATCTCCAGAACCTCTACAGTTCTCACCAGAATTCAAAACCTGAAGAAGTGTTGTTTGGGTTTTTTTTTCCCAAAGCTTCAAGGGAGTTCTGTACAGTCAACAAAATATGATGATGAGTTGGAGATCATGCATTCTAGCCAGCTTTCAAACACTTACAGAGACCTTAAAATAAATCACATACAACCCCAACTTGCCAATGCTATGGGAACCAGCATATAGTAATCTCCTCAAAGAAAAGAACCACAAAAAATATATTAGAAATAATATGAGGGACATGGTTACTTGTTGTTGTGTTAGTGAAACATATAGCAAAATCGGGTCACATTGCCCATGAGAGGAATGCTGCAGACAGGCTTTCATACTGAATATGTTGTGGTCAATAATTAACCATAGCAAAAAGCTATATAGTCAACATTTTCTACACAGTCAATTTTATTTGTCTGTTCTCATTTCTCAGGAATCAACTTGTTTCTGTAAATGAAGTTACAAGACTAGAATAGTTAATCAAGAACAGAAAGTAGAATTTCTTCAGAAAACACAGGCACTAAATTTACAAGCAATTTAAGACTTAAAGGCTAAAGTTTGACAAAATAATTGACCATGTTACGTTCTCTGTGTGAAGGGATATGTCCGTAAGTTTTAACGAAGTTTCCATCTTTCACAAACTGAGTTCTAGCCTACAGTACCTCACAAATGCTTTCCGTCTCAGATATTGCCACACTGTAGGAAAAATATATTTCTATTTTTGGAGACAGGGTTGTTTGTGCATGGACATTAACAAGTACAAAAATTCAGCAGATAATTTTATAATATTTTCTCTTAACTACAACAGAAAGTGCAACACTAAAAAGGCATCTCCTGCCTACTTAAAATTTCTTATACCTTTACAAAGCTAACTCTGAATGTACACATTACATCCTAGAACACACAAATAAGTTTGAAAGTGTCATGGCAGAAGTATGGAAAGCATGCTTACAGCTTTTGTAAGCAAAAAGACACATAGCAAACACCAGTGAAAAGTGATTATGTCTGGAAACAAACATAAATCCAAGATGTCTGAATCTTCACTACTAGTTGAAAACAAAATCCCATGACATTTGTTGATTCTGTAACTTTATTTGCATTTAAAGACTGGCTGCTAAGCTTCTTATCTGAAGAACCACCACAAACAATCAGGAGTTGCTAGCTCTGTTAGAATTAGTCTATTGGATGCAGTGGAGACTTGTTTAAATTGCTGATTGAGCCAGATTGACTTTTGTAGGAAGAGGTCCTGCTTCTTCATGTTCCTCAGTCTTGCATCTAACCACAACAAGTGCAGAGGATGGATATCTGTTCAGTTTTTGTTCATTCATGTATTCCAAATCTCCATAGATGCTCAGCTTCTGAAATATTTTAAAAATTTACA